ACACCATGGCCCCCTGCCCCCCCCCCCGAAAGGAGCCCCCCCCGAGGGAAGGGAAGACCTTGGCTCTGGCACACCTGGCCAGAACAACTCCAGGGGCAGGATTTTGGAGCAGGCGGCAGCGCAGGGGCCAGCAGACTCGCTCCGCGTCTCCACCAGCACTGCTACAGAAATTCTCAGTCACATACAAAAACTTCAATGTTAAGCACTCCAATAAATGCAGCTTCGCCAAACAGCAGTTAGTTAGATTTTTAGCAAATACCTTCCAGAAACAAATGATATTGTCTGTAGAAGCTGTTTTCCTGGTTACCAAAGGAATGCATACAAAAATCTCATAAATATATAGTTTTACCATTTTTTTTTAACCAAATTTATAAACAATTCTGTTTAAACCAAAAGACAATCCAAGGAGAGACCTAGAAAGAAGTGCTGTATCAGACAACCTTTAAAAAAAAAAAAAATATCAGTTAAAAATGCCCAACATATTAAAAACCCCATTCTTTTATCGGGTCACAAAGCAAAGACGACACTTACTACATCCAAAAAAAACCCAAACTGCAGGCCAGGGCTTGGCCAAAGCCAACTTTTGTGCAGCTGGGAGGGGGCTTGCAGGGGCAGGAGCCTTCGCTTTGCAGCAGATTTTCTGGGCTGAAGGAACAGGTTCTGCATGCCCAGTGGGACAAGGGCAGCTCTCCTGCAAACCCTGCAGCTACTCCCCCTTGGATCCGAAGTGCCTTTTGTGAGGGTCCCTGCACCGGGGCCAGCCCCAACAGGGCCAGCAGCTTTCCCAAATCCAAAGGTTTCTGACCCTGGGGTGGTTTGAGGGAGGCTGCTGGCCCTGCAGAGCTCACTGGTGGGGCAGGTAAAATCTTCATGTTGGGAACTTCCCTGAGCCTCGTAAAAGCGACCTCAGGTGGGAAAGAGGTGGGTGGATGTTTGCAGGGCTCTTAGAAACCAAGGAGAGTAAACCCAGCTTTAAAAGTGGGTTAGCAGAAAAAAAAAAAAACCAAACAAGAAAATGACTAACAAATATAAGTTCAGAGAGCACTGAGCATTCAACAAAAGGATTTTAGCTCAAACCAGGAGTATCCTGCAGAAGCGGCTTTGCTGGGGGAATACCAGCCCTTGCCTCGTGTGGGCTGCAATGCCGCAGCTCCCTTCCCTCTGCCCCTTTCCCCTGGGGAGAAAAGGGGTTCACCTGCCCCTTGGGGCCAGATCTGTGCTGGGTACCACGGTCTCACCTTCCTGCAGCAGCCGCAGG